TCAAAAAAACACAAAACAACAAATGTTGGCGAGGATGTGGAGAGACAGGAACACTTCTACACTGCTGGTGAGACTGCAAATTAGTGCAACCTCTGTGGAAAAGAATTTGGAGATACCTTTTTATTTTCTTGTGATGTTTTTATAATTTATTTTTGGGGGGAGGTCTTATCTTAAAGTAATAAAACAATCAGTGTATATCCATATATTTGTAAGCAGAGGTGATAACCAAAATATTTATCTATAAATATATTGTAGGGATGGATAAATCAAAATAGTGTGCACCTGTTCAATATCAGCCCAGTGTATGAGAGTATTTTTTCCTAACTATTATTACTGCACTGGTTAGCATGGACAACATTATATAGGAAATAATGTAAAATGTCAACCAATAAAGGGGCATGTGTTGTAGTACACGCATATTAATGCATGTTAAGATCAGTTGAACTTGAGGAATGTCTTTGATAAATTTGGGAGCCTACAGCCTATCGTACTGTTGTCACATTATGCTGACACAATCTCAAACCCCATAATCTTGTTAAAATATTGAAAGTTCAAAATCCTGAAAATATAATTCTGGGAAAAATTTAAAAAATATTTAAAATATATTCATTTACATATTTAAAAGGAGATTTATTTGAAAAACATAAAAACACAATGGAACACTTCATAGACCACTTTACACAATAAAACAGGCAATAATAACACATGTATTTTTATAAGCACAAACTGTCAGGTACACTAACAACAGTTGCATGGGTATAACAGTTATGAACAGATGAACTATCTTCATAAAGAAGTAAGTCAAAACAGGAAATATATAAACCCATATTACTATGATTGTTAATTGTATGCATCCAGCTTTATAAATGCAGTCATCTGAAATACCATGAAGAACAAATTAAGTCTTTTGATAATATAGATCAAAACCCACAATGGTCACCATAGCATATGCAGTAGTCCAAAGAACCGAGATCTCGAGAAATTTTATCTTTCACAAAAGCAGATGTAAAAAAAGGACATCTCTTCATTTACTTAGGAAGTTTCAGACATTTTTATGTGCAAACACAATGCTTGCCAACAAAGTCAGTGTTGTGATAATTCACTTTTGTGCAGTCGAATTCCAAAAAAAAATGTATAAAACATATTAGAACTTTCTAGAAGTCTCTATACAGTTAATATCTCTAGTATTTGAAATGATGCAAAGGTGAAATACATAACACAACAAATTATGAAAAATACTGTTGATAATTTAAAATAGTGAAAAAAAACTAAAGAAAAAAGAAAAACAAAAGGTTAAAAAGAATATAAAACAAAACCTTTTCATATGCCTGCTGGCCCTTTGTATGTCTTCTTTTGAGAAATGGCTGTTGAGGTCTTTTGCCTATTTTTTAATCAGGTCATTTTTTACCATTGATTTGTTTCAGTTTCTTATATATTTTGTATAGTAACACTTTTTAAGATGTATGGTTTACAAATATTTTCTCTCAATCTGTAAGTTTCCTTTTCACTCTGTTGATTGTTTCTTCTACTGTGCAGAAGTTTTGTAGTTTGATGCAATCCCATTTGTCTTTTTACCTTTTATTACCTGTGCTTTTGGGTTCATAGCCAAGAAATTATTGCCCAGACCAATTTTGAGATGCTTGTTCCCTATGTTTTCTTCCAATAGTTCTATAGTTTCAGGTTCTACATTTAAGTCTTTGAACTTTTCTGAGTTGATTTTTTTATATATGATGTGAGATTCTTCTGCATGTAGATATTCAGTTTTCTCAACAGCATTTATTGAAGAGACTGTCCTTTCCTTCTTGTACGTTCTTGGTACTGTGTCAAGGATCTGTTGACTGTAAATTCATGGATTTATCCCTGGGTTTTCTCTTCTGTTCCATTGGTCTCTATGTCTGTTTTTATGCCAGTACTACTATACTGTTTTAATTACTATAGCTTTGTAATATTTTGAAGTCAGGAAATGTGATGCCTCCAGTTTTGTTCTTCTTGCTCAAGATTGCTGTGGCTATTCAAGGTTTTTGTGGTTCCATATGAATTTTAGAATTGTTTGTTCTATTTCTGTAAAGAATGCCATTGGGATTTGATAGGAATTTAATTGAACCTATAGATCACTTTAGGTAATATGGACATTTTAACAAGTCTAATTTTTCCAATCCATGGACATAGGATATCTTTCTATGTCTTCTATGTCTTCTTTTTGTGTCTTCTGTAATTTCCTTTATAGAAGGTGTTTTATAATTTCAGTGTTTTATAATTTTCAATTTACATGTCTTTCACCTCTTTTGTTAAGTTTACTCCTATGTAGTTTATTCTTTTTGCTGATATTGTGAATGGGATTGTTTTCTTAATTTACTTTTGGATAGTTCACTTTTTGTGTATAGAAATGCTACTGATTTTTGCATGTTGGATTTTTTATCCTGCAACTTTACTGAATTAGATTATTAGTTCTAATAGCTTTCTGTGGAGTCTCTAGGAGTGTTTATGTTATCTGCAAGAAGAGATAATTTTACTTCTTCCTTTCAGATTTATATGCCTTTTATTTATGTTTTTCTTATTTAATTACTCTGGCTAGGATTTCCAGTACTATTGAAAATAAGTGGTGAGAATAGGCATCCTGTCTTGTACTGAGTCTTAGAGGCAGTTTCAGTTTCACCCCATTGATTATAATATTAGCTGTGGACTTTTAATATGTGGCCTTTATTGTGTTTGGGTAAACTCCTTCTATCCTTATTTTGTTGAGAATTTTAATCATGATTGGAGGTTGAACTTCATCAAATGCTTTTTCTCTGTCTATTGAGATGACTGTGTATTTTTTTCTTTTTAATAATATGGTGTATCACACTGATTGATTTTCACATGTTGAACCATGCCTGTATTCCAGGGATAAGTCCTACTTGGTCATGGTGTATGATTCTTTTAATGTGTCATTAAATTCAGTTTTCTGATATTTTATGCAGGAGTTTTGCATTCATATTTATCAGGGATATTGGCCTATAGTTTTCCTTTCTTGTGGCGTCTTTGAGTACCAAAGTTTGGGTGTCAGCTTGATACTGGCCTCATAAAATAAGTTTGGAAACATTCCTTCTTCTATTTTTTGGAAGAGTTTTGAGAGAGTTGATATTAATTTTCATCTTTGAATGTTTGGTCAAATTTACCCACAAAACCACCTGGTTCTGGATTTTTCTTCGTTGGGAAGTTTTTGATTACTGATCTAATCTCCTTATTTATGATTGGTCTATTTAGCCTTTGTATTTCTTCTTGATTCTGTTTTGATGGGTTGTATATTTTTAGGAATTTACCCACTTTTTCTAGGTCATCCAATTTGTTGGTGTATAATTATTCATAATAGTTTCTTATGATCCTTTTTATTTCTGAGGCATCCATTGTAATGTGTCCTCTTTCATGTCTGATTTTATTTATTTGAATTCTCTCTGATTTTCTTGGTTATTCTAGTTAAGGGTTTGTCAATTTGGTTTATCTTTTCAAAAAAGCAACTCTTAGTTTTGCTTGTTTTTTTCTATTCTTTATTTGTCTTATTTCTACTCTAATCTTTATCATCTACTTTCTTATGTTAACTTTAGCATTAGTTATTCTTTTTCTAGTTAGTTGAAGCATAAACTTAGTTTTTTATTTGCATTCTTTCTTTATTTAATGTAGGCATTTATTGCTATAAATTTTCCTGTTAGTACAACTTTTGCTGCACCCCAGAAGTTTTGGTAAAATGTGCACATATGTTGGCTTATGTTTGTGAGCATTGAGAAAGGTATGCAAAGATACACACTAAAGAATTAATCTTGGCTTTTGCTGATGGGCAGAATTAGAGACAACAATGTTGGGAGGCAGTCTATTAACTTTTTCTTTATGCACCCCTGAAGGTTTGGTTTGTTATAAACAACACTGTCGTTCAAATTTTTAAAAAGCTAACTTTATAATTAAATTATTTAAAAATTAAGTTGATGAAGGGACTACCTTTTTAAACTCTCACAACACTTTATATAAATGGGCGTATTTATTTTGAAACTTTCGTGTAGAGTAAATCAAAAATATAGTATCATAGATGAATATTGGGTGAGAGTTTTTAGCCAACCTTCACCATATCTATCTAAGTAGGTATCTCCAGAAGCAAGAGTAGAATGGAAAATAGCAAATGCAGAATGGGGTTACTCATTTCAAGGTGCCCAGTTATAGCAAACTTTGTGAGTTCTAACACCTCAACTCTTCCTCTATTGTACTGTAAGCTCCATGAAGGCAGGATCATTTGTCTTCTTCACCATGTATCGTCAGTACAAAGCTTAGTGCCTGATACATAGGGGACAGTTAATAAATGTTACTGAATGAATCAATCAATAAATACCCACTTTAGGATGGAAGTTAAAGAGTTGGTTATGTCCTTAATTTCTCTTCTCTGGTATATCTATATTTGATTTTGGTTTATGGAGCACCTTACCATTACTTCTGCTCAGACTGTGATCATGTGGCACTGTCATTATTTTGGGGTACTTCCATTTCCCCAATAAGAGAGACAGATGAAATCAGAAGAAAAATCTGGTTTCTATTAATTTTTTTCCTATATCCCACAGAGCAACTAATTCAGTAAATTTTGAATATATTAAGTTATTAAAAATGTGTTTTATTTTTCCAGATCCCTCTCTCTAATAGCATGACTTCAACAAGTTTAACCTCACAAAAATACAATTCATTGATTCTACTAACTGTTCACTATTCCTTTTGTTTGCTTATTTATATGAGTTTATGGGGTATGTATGCAATCATGTTACCTGCGTAGTGGTCAATTCAGGACTTTTAAGTTATTCATCATCTGAATAACTTATGTTGTATCCATTAAGTAATTTCTCATCATCCACTCCCTAAACCCCCTTACCCTTCCAAATCTCCATTGTCTATCATTCCACTCTCTACATCTGTAGTGTTACTATTCCCTTGATGTCACTTTTAAAAATAATTTTTATTTCAAAACATTAAGGGGTACAAGTGTTCTTGTTATGTAGATGAATTGTATAATGCTGAAGTCAGGGCTTGTAGTATGCCCGTCACCAAAACAGTATATGTTGTACCTGATAGGTAATCTGATACCCACCTTAAATTCTGTTGTAAGTAAATCATTATAATCACTTTACTCATTCTCTTGCACACACCCTGAACTTATTTGTCTCACTTCTCTTTGAAACACTTGTCTATTCTCTCTGTTTCCCCCATAGAATCCTATTCATTTGAAAGAATTTAAATACCGTATGTGTACTGATGATATACTTTGTCTGAACCGTTTTTCCTGAAATTCAAACTTTTCTATCCAATTGCCTACTCTCCATCTACATTTGGATGGCCACAGTCATCTCAAACATGACATGTCTAATACTGAACTTATTCTCTACCCTTACCCCATACCTCCTCCTCTAACAATCTTCCTTATCTCAGTAAGTAGAAATTACATCTTTCCACTTACTCAGTTGAATCATGACTCCTTTCTTTCTCTCATGCCTAATTTCTAATTCATTGGCTAGTTCAGTTGGGGATAATGTCAAAATATACCCATTATCCAAACTCTGCTCCTTACTTATATTGCTATAATCCTGATCCAAGCCACCATTATCTCTCACCTAACTATAGGTATGTCATCCCCTTGCTACATACAACCTCCCCACACTCCAATTCTCAATATAGCAGGGAAGATCTTGTTAAAACTCAAGTTAAATCATGCCACTCCTCTTCTCAAAATGCTGCAGTGGCTTTCTATCTCATGCAGAGTTAATATGGCTACCTGCTAACTCTATGACCTTACTTATACTTCTTTCTTCCCTTGCTCACTTTACTGTAGCCACAGTTGGATTGATTCCACTTGTGTGGAGGGAATAAAAGTTTAGCTTAAATTGAGCCAACATCGATTTATGTGAGGAGATAAATCAGCCTTCAACATAATTGAAGCTATGCTAGATTTGCCTGTGAAGAAGGCATACACCAACAAGAGTTAGGGAAATCACCTCAGAAATGTTTTTTTCAGAGGCCATAAAGGTCTTTGACAATGGAAATTATGTTTCTCAATCTAAGAGTGTGACAGGATCAATCTGGGAGACTTGCACATATATTTTTTGCTGACTTTTTTGTGAAACATTCTTATTATAAAAGGTAAAATAACCTTTTCTAGAAAATAGGTATATTAGCCACTGGAAGTTGATTAATGAAATTTGAAAGTGATAGCTGTAATTATTGTGGGGTTTTCTTTGTTTTGTTTTGTTTAGGCCATCATTTTCAATCACAAAGGAATTCATCTTGAAGTTCAATCAAGCACAAAATTCCATAGAGGAGGAAGAATTGTTGGAAATAGCTAGAAAAAACATTCTAAGATGTAAGGTAATAGCACACCATTTGATTACTTAGTATGTAACTGGAAACCTTTGCTAGGTGGTGGATGATTACATGTTCTGTGAAAGGAAAATAAATACATCTTTCTTTAATTGTAAGTAGGCATAGTTAAAATATTAATGCAAATTAAAGTAAAAGCTGATGGCCAAATAATTCACTGTCAAAGGGCTTTTTGAGTGAAAGCTCCCTATAGATTTGGGGGGAATATAGCTGTTGATACACATCAAAGAGCCCATAGCAAAATATCAAAGGCTGGCAAATAAATTTGTGAATTTTTTTCCTAAAACAATGTTAATTGAGATGTGATATGTCCCAGAAAGGAAAGAAAGACTTCCTACACATCTACTATACATGTACAAAGTACTCTGTTCTTTCTTTGTAACAAACTATTGTTCACCTAACTTGTGAAAAATGTATTCTTTAAGAGTATGACATTGATTCACAAATTTTCATACAGATATCAAAACAGAACAGGAAATGAAGTAAATCCTTGCTTTGCCTTTTCTACCTTAGATTCAGTTTAAGTTTGACAGAGAAAGTATGTACATATTTTGCTTTGATACTGAATAATTCATGGAACAAAAGCTGCATAAAACCAGGCCACAAATTAAGCCTCCCTTTTTTGTTGTGATGGTTGTTATTTTTTCAGTTCATGGTTGACCATATATTTGAAAATTTTGAAAAAATCCATTTAAAATATTTGGTTAGAAAAAGAGTATACTTTGGATAACTGTGTATTCAGGAAGGTGCCAGGAGGTACATTCATCAGTGAGCCCCTCTCCAGTCGACCAAGTGATTCCTGTGGCAGCCCCTGGAGTGGGCACGGTGAGGGAAGTGGGACAATCCTGATCATCTCCCTCATGTTCATTAACTTCAGTCCAACAATGTTGAAGTAGCCAAGGTTTTCCAGCAAATTGACATCAAACCCATTTCTGTTTAATCTCATTTCTTTAATACTTTTCCTTATAAAATAAAAAATGCATTCTCTTGGGGGGAAATGAAATAGAAGTAATCACTCGAAAGTAAAGAATGAGAATTATTTTCAGCAAATAACTAATTATATTATTCAGAATATTAACATTTTCTACATTTTAACACTTACAAAGTTTGCATAAAATGTCTAAAATACAAATAATAAAAGTAAAAATATACAGTTGTGGCTACAGAGCATTTGCCTCATACAATGACTTTTGGAACATAATTAAGGGATAATAAAAATAAACACATGAAAAGCTGTACATTTTGATTTACATTTTCCATGCTTCCCTATAACAGAGAAAATTGGGTCTCAAAACCTTGGGCTCTGGGAAACATGTACATCTTCCTGCTGCATGGACTGAAGTAATATATCTGGCTCAATGCAAAGGAGAAATCCAAGATGGTATGTGCTTAAATTCTCATTAAATATGCTAAATATTTTCTAGATTATCAGTGAAAGCATAATCTGAGACTTACTTTTTAAAAATTGTGCAGGAGACAAGAAAAGTTTGCCATTCTCTGTTGAAATATCTTATAATGTTTCATTGTGAAAGTTCCTTTTGTAATTTTGAACTTATGAATTTAAGTGTTCAGCTTTTAATTACAAAATTGTTTTGAAAAACTTTTGCTCAGCATAGTCTTTATTGCTTTTTTCTAAAATTAGTTACTAATTAAAAAGTAATATAAAATGTCATTCAGTGATTTCCAATTACAATAGGCACTATACTTTAGAGAAACTTGTTTCTGCATTTTATAATTTTTACTCATAAAACATTAATCAAATGGCCATTTGTTTTTCACTTCTTTTGAACAGCAAGCTTTACTCATTACCTTTTCATTTCTCACTTCTCATTTATGTCTCCTTTCAAACACTCTGTAATTCAAAAAGAAATTAAATAACATTGTTCTTAAAGGAGTAAAATTCCATCTATCATTATCATAAATGTTATGTGTAAGCCTTTTCAAATGAATTTTAGGATGTTAACTATATGAGGTCAGAGAGTATTTCCTCATGTAAATTGGGTTTTGTAGTGCTCTCTGGGAGCTTTCAAGTAATAGGAAGAGTAAGAACTGTTTTGTGTTTAACTTGCCTTCATGGTCCTTCATTACGATGTCATCCACATCCTGACCTATATTAAGTATTTAAATGGTATTGAGATAAACTCTTGGTTTGCCAGCCACCAGCAGCTGCTTATTTACTCTTCATTGCCAAGTAAATATCAGTTTTATTCAGATATCCTCCAGTCATGTGATTCTGAAGGGTTGCCCAGCCCCAGGGAGTGAATCAGAGGTGGTCTAAATCAACTGTGGTAATTCCCTTTTACTTGCCAGTGATTGGATTGGGGTAGTCACATGACCTACTCCTAACTAAAGGGATGTAAAGACAATTCTATTTGGAACACTTCTTGTTTACTTGCCTTTGAAAAAGACATGCCTAGGAAGAAAGCATCCCTCCTCTCCCAACAGCCCTCTTTGTTCCTCCCTAGTGTGCGTGGTAAGAGCATGATGCCTGGAGCTTGTGCAATCATCACAGACATCATGTACAGCAAGGGAACTGGAAGATGAAAGGAATGTGCATACAGAGGGCAGCTATTTTAGCCATCCCAGGAACCCTTCTGATTCTGATCTTGTGAAATAATAAACATCCTTATTCTCAAGACACTTTTTGTTGATTTTTCTGTTACACATAGCCCAAAGAATTTTAACTCATTCAGCTATTGTACTCCAAATAATACCTTAAATATGATTTCTTCTTATAATGTCCACAACTGAAATAACCTAATAGGTGTCCTACCTGTACCCTCCACGCAACGGAAATCATTCTAAAGCTTAAATAATTCTCAGTGACTTCTGATTACACTTAAAATGAGCCTGACTCCATATTATGGCCACAAGGCTCTGCACGATCTGCCTCCTGGATACCTCCCTACTCATTCATTATGCTCCAGCCATACTGACCTCCTTCCTGTCCCTTGACCATGTCAGGGTTTTTCCTTCCTCTAGTGCCTGCATCTGCTGTTCTTCCTCAGATATTTACTTAGCAGCTCCTCAAAATCTTTGTAATGATGTGGGCAGCTGTTTTCTCTAGGCCCTTAGCTCTATAATCTTCCTCCTTTATCTCCATGGGATGGCTTATTTCCTCTGCCTTGATGTTCTAGTCTTGTTCTGTTCTCTTTTATAGCAGTTATCTTTAGCATTACCTTTCATCGTCTGGCTCTGTCCTGTTTCTCCACCGTTATGTATGTGACCAGGTGATCTATTTAGTGTTGACTGTAATAGCCGGTGCTCCTTGAGCATTTCTTAGTTTCTCTGTGTAGTCTTAACTACCTTAGTGACTTCTGCATGGTGGCTTCATGCCATGAAGTTAGACTTCCTACATGCCTTCCTACATGGCAGCTTAGGGTACCAAAGCTAGTATCTTGAGAGAAAGAGAGATCTTAGAAGCTGTGGTGTCTTTTCTGATGTAGCCTTGGAATTCACTCAGTATAATTTCTGTGACATGCTATTGGTTGAAGCCATCATAAAGCCTACTGAAATTAAGGGGAAGGGAACATAGAAGTCACTCCTTGATATGAAAGGTGTCAAAGAATTTGTAAATATGTTTTCAAACCATAATCTCATCTTGGTGACTGAATAAATAGTTATTTGCAAAAATTAATTGTAGCATGTGGAAAAACAGGGTGATTTTTAAATGATGCAGTTTATACGTTTTAATATTTCAGAAGCCTTAAATATGCTTTATGCTTCCCTGGACCATGCTTGCTTTGATTATGATCATCTGCCTGCCTTATTTTTTGTTGCGGAATCAGTTTTACATAGACTCTGTTGTGATGCATTCCTAAGGACATACTTATATTCAGTGGAAATAAAGCTGACAAAGGTATGCTTTAAAATTTTTTAAAT